GCTGATTAATGCTGAGTTTATTTTCTACATAATATCTACTCATTTTCCAAAGGGGAAAAAAAACCCATCAATTATACACACACATCACTATATAAATATCACAAATAATTGTATGCAAAAAGTGAAGTAAGGACAGAGAAGGAAAGGAATTTGGGGACATTTTCTAGCAAGAACTGGATTTGAGTTTTGTGAAATTTGGAGAGATGGGGAAGACAAACAGTTGATGTGAGAAAGAATGATATATTTTGGAATCATCAGGACCTAAGTGTGTGGGATCACAGTTGCACTATGCACATCTTGAGTTTTGACTTTTAATCTACTTGCTTCCTGAATTGGACTGATGCCAACCTAGAAAGGTATATATTTTTGGCACTAGTGATTACTTCTTTCTTCATATTCAGGGTATGATTTACAAAATTATGCCTGCAAAAATCTTCATCTGTGGTAGTATTGTTTAAATCAATTTTACATCTATAAAGTCTTGAGGGCTATTTTAATTTCTTAATGGGGAAGTGACATTGAATAAACCTTGGCAGTGTCCATAAACCAAAACCTGCTTTTATTTCTTCACTTCTATTTGTAAAGAGCCGTATGGTTTCAGATTTCTCCAGTACTTGTAAAAAAAAAACAGAGTTTCTAAAAGTTTTAAATATATACTTACCTATATACTTAAATTTCCTTCCTCATGTTTCTTCTGCTAGGTACTGAGAACAAGATTTCGGGTATGAATAGTGTGGAGCACAGTGGGATGGATATTATCCTAGTGTAGACTCTGTGTATTTGACCACAGGCAATGCTTGCGTTTGCTTTGGTTGGCATTTTGAGCTTCCTATTACCTAATCTTTTGGGTCTTTTTTTTTTTAATAGAGAAGTCTTCAGAAGGCAGGCAAAAGAGAAATAATTGCCCCTTAAACAAAGCTAAGATATAATTATTGGCAAGCATCAGTGCAGCACTGCAGACTTACAGGGTTGCTTGCAGGCATCTTTCTTACAGATCATTTATTCTTTGCAGCCACAGGAAATAAAGGGCCTCATGGACTTTACTCAAGGAAAGGGTTTGTGGAGTCTCTTGAGATGGATCCACTCAGATTCAAACAAGAGCTTCAAAGGGAGTTGGGGTCTTGAATTATTCCTCGAATTTTCTAAGTGTTTCTGCCGTATGTGTAATGTTTTACATTCTACTTTTGAGTAACTAAAAGAGGGTAGGACATAAAAAGGGGGGAAAAACACTATTTCTCTTAATAAGTGCAGTCATTGAAATTGCTCTGAGCAGTCGTTAACCCAAATTGGCTGCAGAAGATGACATTTCATCACACTTGAATAGTACATTAAGGAAATCTATAACCCCACCTTCACTCTGCTAGTGAAATTCCAAGGTTCAGAGAGGTAAACTAAGACAAAACCACATTGACTAATTCTGTGCCACACTCTGACTCTTGAAAATATCTGCGTTTTCTTCTTGAGACACACGTTTTTGTTTTTAAGTTTTACCGCAGTGTTTCTTGAGAACACTTGTCCATTCCTTGTGCCCTTACAGTCTGCAAGCCGGAATTTCTGGCTGGCCTGCTCATTCCTTCCGGCAGTGAGGATCCATTTTTTATTTTCCTTTTAAAGATACTTTATTTTTTTAATTTCAAACTCCAATGAGATTTTCATTAACTATTTATTGAGTCCCTACTATGTGTTAATCCGTGTGAGCCGTTTTATATTCATTATCCTCTTTGATTGCACAACGATATCAGATTAGCATTACTGTAAAAATTTAAAACATAAGGAACCCGAGGCCCAGAGAGACCGCCATGTTATCATGCAACTGGGTCAGGGAGGCACATAGATTCTCCTCATGTTAGTTTGGTCCTCGTGGCAGGCTTTCTCAGTGCCACACAACCATCTCTCAACCGTTTTTCGAGGGGCCTTAAGGATTGTTCCAAGGGAAGTCAAAGACAGCAAAGTGTTTCTCTTTGGTAGGAAAAAGCCAAACCCATAGCTATGAACTCCTTGCATATTAATAGATACCGCCATAATTTGCATGATTCGATTATGAATAAAAGTCCACCACTGCCATCACCACCACCATTATCCCAAATGTCTTCCCATTTGTTTCAAAATGTTGGTATCATACTTGTCACTCAGAAATTTTATGACATACAATCATATTCTCAATGGGACCCTAGTCACTATAAATGTACTAGTTCCCCTTGATCGTTACACTCCCTATCGGCTGAACTTGGCCCTTATATGGGTTTTATTGGCCCATTCAGTGCTGGTTCCCATCCTAATATTTTTTTATGGAATTTTAAAATCATTGTTCAGATTTGGAAATTGAAAAGTTTTACATTCATCTGGCTCTTTGGTCTTCTGTTCATAATTGGCATAATTTCCAATTGCTAGCGGATATTACTGCCCTTTGGTAAGTGGGACATCTACTTTCTGGAAGTCTTTCTTCTAACCTTGTGATGCTGAAATTGTGTGCCAGTTTCCATTATTACTAGCACAAAGTTGGATTCACTTATTTTTATCGCTTGCCTGGCCCCTGTAGGCACTTGAGTTCGTATGTCTCTGTTGCATTAAGATAATTTTAGAAGGCAATTGACTTTTTTTTAAAGCTTTCAGATAAAAAGTATGTTTAGTACTGTGCTTTGCATTATCAAACTAAATAGGATTTTTTTCTCTGTTATTTGGAAGAGATTTTTATTCTTAGAGTGTTATTGGTATATCTCAATACCTTGACACAAGGGCATCAAATTAATGTAGACAAGGTGTCATAGTGTATAGGAAAGGCAGTGGTTGGCATTGATGGACAGACTTCAGAATCCACCACTTGAAATGAGAATACAGGGAAATAAAATCCTATAACAGTATAGATTTACTTCAGGAGAGAATTTGAGTTTGGTCTTTATTCCATTTTGGCTATTTAGAATTTACTTTGAAATCCCTGCTTGAAAAGATATTGGAGTGTGAAGATTCAAATTTATTCCTGTGTCTATGCAACATTCATAAATGCGCTTTCAAACTGAGACAAAAGCCTTATTTCATATCCTTTGAATGGTCTCTAAATACATGTTCTTAAATTATAGATATTGTATAATATATTTCTTTACACTTTTCTTGATAAACCTGTAGGAGTATGTGTGCAGGTGAATATTTGATTTATTTATAAGCAAGATGAACTAATATGTGTTTTTCTCCAAATCTCATGAGTTGGATAATAAATCTTAAAATTTAATTTTCCACATGTGCTGTGTAGTATAAGCTTTCTAATACAGAATCATAACTGGATGCATAAGAAGATGAATCGACTTGCCTAGGGCCACGAAGTGGTTCAGGGACAAAGATGAAAACTAAAATAAGTGTCCCCAGTGCCATTTTTGAGTATTTACCATAGATCAGGCACCATGCTAAGTAACTACATAATCTTATTTCATCTCAATAGCTTTATGATACCAATGTTATGTCCATTTTTAAATCTAGCACACTAGGGCTCTCGGAAATCAAATTATTTGCCCAAGCTAGCACATCTAGGAATGGGGGACTTGGATTTCAGAACACATCTATGTGTTTCTATGTCTGTGTTCTTAAAGACATAGGATGGATACTGGGGACACCAAGAATGCGACTTGTCCCTTCTCCTTTTTCCATGTGACCTTAGGCAAGGGATCTAATAATGCTGAGCCTCAGCTTCCTCATTTGCAAATGGGGATAATGACACATACTGCAGAGGATGATTATTTGGGAAAAACAAAAACAAATGACCACAAAAAACATCATTTCCTTACTATGTTTCTGCAGTATGTGTCATTATCCCCATTTGCGAATGAGGAAGCTGAGGCTCAGCATTATTAGATCCCTTGTCTAAGGTCACATGGACAAAGGAGAAGGGACAAGTCGCATTCTTGGTATCCCCAGTATCTATCCTATGTCTTTAAGAACACAGAAATTCAAGACCAGTTTTTACTCTCAGCCAAAAGGTGTGGCCATCACCATGAATCTAAAAACACAACCTACCTAGAGGGAAGAAACAATGACTTATCCCTCTTCTTTTTGACTTTATCAAAAGTTGACTAGGCAATATGTTTTTGTGGGGTTTTTTTGAGTTGGAATCTCACTCTGTCACCCAGGCTGGAAGGCAGTAGCTCTCTCCCAGCCACCACAGCCTCGACCTGCTGGCCCTAGCGATCCTTCCGCCTCAGCCTTCCAAGTAGCCGGAACTACATAACTACCAGCCCAGCTAATTTTTGATTTATTGTAGAGAGGAGGTCTCGCCAAGTTGCCCAGGCGGGTCTCGAACTTGCGGGCTCAGGCAATCCACTCGCTTGGCCTCGGCCTCTCAAAGTGCTGGGATTACAGGCTGAGCCACCGAGCCCGGCCTAGGCAATATGTTATTCTCATGAGTAGCCAAGGCACAGTCAGAGTCATTAACTCTTGAGATCTTTAAAACTCATGACAAAATGAAAAGCAACAAACCAGTAACTATAAAGTGCCTCGAGTTCAAAAGTGATGTGTGTGTATGTGCGTGTGTGTGCACGCACGCGCACGCGCGCATATATACACACATTTGATTAATACCTGTTGGCAGGTGGCCACAACAGTCCTTGGCATGATTTTTGAGTGAGATTTGTGGTCCCTATTTCAAATCGATTGCTAAGATAGCGGACTCTTGATGAGAATGCGAGGTGATGTTGAATGTCCCATTAGCACACACTGGGCAGGTGGGGTGCTTTTAGCCACAACAAGCAGCAGTAATCTTTGTAAACTATCGCTCCTGTAAGCACATACAGAGAAGATATAAAATTCACTTGTTTTGGGAAGCTGACCACAGGTTTTGTAATTCACATTCTTTCCTGTCCCTCACACACGGATGTGATGAAAGGGATAACCCTCTCTGCCCCACACGGCTGCAACCACCCAAATCACTTTTAAAAGAGCGGGTCTTATAAAAGATTCCCTAGATTATACACATCTTGTCCTTTCTTTTTTCTTCTTCAATTTATGTTTTTCAGGACAAACGATACTGGCTTTCTTTCCTTCAAAGACCACTTGCCTGTCACTCAGATAGTTATCACTGACACCGACAGATCAAACTCAGAAGCTGCTTGGAGAATTGGTCCCTTGCGTTGCTATGGTGACCGTGAGTACTCAATCTAAAGAAGCTTTCTCTGCATTACATGAGCACAAGATGTTTTCACTCCCTTGTCCCTTTTCTGTGCAGTGGCCCCTAGTCTTGAAAATGGTCCTCATGCCCAGTGCTTCCCCAGACCCCACTGAAAATGATGAACCGTGCTGAAGGATTTTCTCATTTGCAGGACACTTCTGGAATGCTGTCTCATTTTACACAGAAGCCTCTTACCTCCACTTTCCTACCTTCCATGCGGAATTCAGTGCCGATATTTCCTTCTTTTTTAAAACCACGGCTTTATCGGGAGTTTTCCTAGAAAACCTTGGCATTAAAGACTTCATTCGACTCGAAATGAGCTGTAAGTGTCCTCGATTATGAATTTAACATAACTGAACAACAGAACAAGTTTTTTTTTTTCCCTTTGCTGCCGATGACCAGTGCTGATTTGGACCTCAAATTGATCTCACTGGACATCTTTAAAATTAACAGTGATAATTTCCAATGCTTTGTAATTTATTATGACCTATCAGCACTTAGTCATTCTATCTCAAAAATATGTGCATTCCAAAAGTTCCCATGGACACTTATTACAGTGTCCGTGGGTATTTCTTACTAGTGACTTTAATCTTCCACTCAACGGGGCATTTTTCGCCACACTTTCCTTGGAATGTTGAAAGGATTATTGTTAGACATTCTATTCATATTTAGGGGTCTGCTTTTTTCTTGTACCTTTGCTCCAAAAGTAATTTTCTGACATCTCCCACTACGAGCAGTGTGTGACGACTAACTCAGTTAGAATTGCCATGGTTTCTCTGCCACTTCCCCATGAACAATGGTGTATCTAATACATTTGATGCCAGGATGTGGATTGTCTTTTAACATTTCACCCCTTATAAGTAAGCTATTTCAGGAATAATCATGAAGTAAAATTAACAATAAGAGAAACACAGATGGTGAAATATTTATTATTGAACATTTTATATGTAATCACACTAATGAGAATATATTTCAGTTCAAAAGTAAAAATGAAATAAAATGTCTTTAAAATTGCATTAATTCTTTTTTATACCAAGGGAAAAAGCGTACTTATGTTTTGGTTTGTTTTCATTATAATAACATTATTAAAATGTCTGTTCCTAAGCCATTGCTTCTGCAAGTTTATCAATCACTTCATCGAAATTGACTGTTTATAAATGTTTGTGTTCAAAAAAGAGTCTAATCATATTTGTTCATTTATCTTCCCTCGTATTAGGCAAAAAGACAATTTTTATTAATTATAAATTTAAATGTTTTTTCACACAAAGCAACAGAAATACAAATAGTTAGAAAAGGATTTAAATCTAAGAATATATTTGTTAAAGATTCATAAAATTTTTATTTTACACTAAATTCTAGAAATTATAACATTGCCCATGTCTTTTTTTCAGGATTGATTCTAGCAACTTCCAAATATCCCTGCAAATGAAAAATCTTCACTAAAATATTTTCACCATAAAGTTTATCATAGATTTTTATTCTATTAGGTAAAAATTACAACATTCCTGAGGATTTGAAATTGCTTGAGCTTGCTTAGGGTGCAATCTGTGTCCCCAAACCCTGTGGTTCTATACATTCCTGCACTCCACGGTAAATCTGAGTTAAACGACAGCATATTTGAGTTAAACAACACTAGCACAGCACATTGTAAAGATGAGAAATGAGAACTTCGGTTCTTACTCTTGAGAATAATGCATGTATTTGAGTCTGCACGTTCAGGAACCAATGTTAAGTCTGGAGTTCTGTGTATTTACTTCCCTCCAGAATATAATATGTATTAAATGGTAAGTACTAATTTGAAGTTTATGTATACATTATTAAAAATTGACAGTAGCTTCCGTTTCTGTTAAAACTTAGACTAACAAAAGATTTGTTTGGTAGAAGAATATTTTATTAGTGATATTGCTTAGACTTACTTGTGTGAAGTGATACAAATAAAGATGCATTTTCAGTTACTTTTGCCTTCAGTTCTCTGCACTCAGCGCACCCCCTTATCTGCGTACAGGGTCGTCTATACCCACCTCCTTGTCTTCTTATGCCCATGACCATGAAGACTCATGATCATCATCACGTAGCCCATCTATGTGTATCCAAATGAAAGTTTTTCTATGGTTTTACTGATGCAACTGATCATATCACAGTGATGATGTGACTGCATGAAATACCCTTGAAAGCCTAAGCAATGTCTTAGCCACAGAAACTGGAAATTTGAGAGCTCCAGAAAAGGAGACAAAAACACTGACTGGACGAGATGGCAGAGGTGTTTAAGTCTCCTGCAAGTCACCAAGCAGCTAAGTGTTTATTTTGCAGTTACAGCACAATACATACAAGGAAAGAGATCTCCTTAATTAGTAGTTTTAACCTCCTTTTACTCCAACAATTGAGACTATTAATGGGAGGAAGCTCTTGTGGCTTTGCTGTGAAATAAGATCCCTCCTACCTAACTTGACCAGGCTCTGAAAACACGGAGTTAAGTACCAACCATTTCATAATCTGGATATAATAACCTCAATGTAAATTTAATAAAAACCAGGCCCCACGGCCTTTTGATTCATTAAAGCAGTGGCAAACGACGTGGTATGTTATCACAAGGTAATGACTGATGATTTCGTGTCAATTATGTATCGGTGTCCGATTTGTTCATACTTTGTGATATTTTGCCCTTTGGGTTACGCAAAAAGATGTTTTTAATGTAAGTTGGAATTAAATTTGGCAAAACTCAAACCCCTTGATATCATTGTCTGGTGTATACTTGATCACCAGATTGGAGAGCATATACTTTTCAAAACAAGATTTTATATATATGTATGTATATACATATGTTGACAAGTCTAAGGCCTTATAAGTCTCAAAATATCTTTTAATATTGACATTTAAAAGAGAATCCTGCATTCCTTACTTACAGCTACTTACAGCTACTCATGCTCAATGCAAGTTAGGCAGATGGAATTTTTACCCTGAAGGGTTTCTAGCAAGAAACCTCCACAGACCAGCTACTTGGAAAGGAAATGGCCTTTTAACAGATGCAGTGGCTCAGAATAGATTTTCCTCCCATCCCCAAGGAGTGTTCCTAGAAAACTATCTGAGCAGCAGTTTCCAAGGTTGATATATCCAAACTGTTGGACAGGGAACAGCAGGTTTCCATGAAAATTTCAATCCATTTCCTTCTAGGCTGCTTCCAACTAAGATATTTGAATTTCGTAGCCTTGGGATTAGTCTGCGTTCTGTGAAAAGGGAGACACTTCACCATGTTGTCAAGTCTTTGTGAATGTGTTTCAAATGGAATTGTGAAAAAAACAATAGCGATTTTGACAAATATCTTGCGATGGCTGGACAGATAGGAATAGATACTCTGGAGTTGATGAGGGAGTTCACGAGGGCACAGAAGGCAGGCTTTTGAGACTCCGCCTGGTGTAGCAGAAGGAGGTTAGACTGAAGAACTCATTGTGGATACACATTTCTGTTCCTCCAAGTCAGTTTGCGAGCTTCCTTGGGCAAGTTCTTTATTCCTTCCGTGCTTATTTAGGCATGATGGGATTGGGGTGGGTGGCACCTGTATGCCAACCAGATGCCTTTGGCTGCAATGAACAGAAAACTCGATCTGAACTGGCCGACACCAGAATGGAAATTCGCTGGTCCGGGCGCATGTGACTTGAGTCCAGAGCAAATGGGACTAGCCTTCTTTCTGGTTGGATTCAGCCGTTCAACAAAATTATCCGTGGTCTGATGCTTTTCTCTCTGCTTTGAATTCGGAGTGTCTGCTTAAGTCTTGGGCCATGTCTCCCTTGGGAGAGAGCCGCGTCTCAGCTGGAGAGGGAGCACTGCCCTCCTGGTTGCACAACCAGGCCTCCCAGGGTGCCATCCATCCAGCAATCTGTGAACCAATGACTGTGGCTAGGGAAGTGCAGAATGCAGACTGGTTTATGCCGACCCCTACACCTGGGACGGGCTTTCCCCAAAGTGAAAGGTGAAAGAGCGGATAGGCTTCCAAAGCAAACTCTGGGTATTGCTAGGAAAGGAGTGGCGGTAGTAGGGAATCAGTTATGATTCTTCTGAGGCCGTTGTCAAGATTGAAATGCACAATTTATTTTTTGAAAAATGCCTGGAAAGGTGTAGGGAGCTAGTAAATACCTACGTTTTCTTTGAAATATGAAAATTATTATATTGGGGTACAGTTGTAATCCTAGTACTGTTTGTCAACTATTGTAGGATATATCATTATCCTACTCGCTAAGTGATTGAATTTAATCATTTCATTTCTTAATCTAATGCCCTGGCTGCTTTCTAATAATATCATTTAAGTGGACTTTCTAATCCACCTTACTGTAAATTAAACAGAATAAAAACCAAAAATCTCCTGAGTTGCTCAGTGGAAAAAATTTATAGATTGGTAGATAGATAAAAAAAATTATTTAATTTCTAGATTTCAGCGGTATCATACTAAGAATATTAACAAATGTGATACTAACGTAAAGTTATTATAATCAGAACTTCAGAAAATAGAAAAAACTGATATTACTAATAATTATATATAGGGTCAATTGTTGAGTGATAATTCTGATTAGACACTACGCAGAATTCTTTAAATGCCTTATTTTGCTGGACTCGGTGGCTCAGCCTGTAAACCCAGCACTTTGGGAGGCCGAGGCGAGTGAATTGCCTGAGCCCGCGGGCTCGAGACCCGCCAGGGCAACTTGGCAAGACCTCGTCTCTACAATAAAATCAAAAACTAGCCGGGTGTGGTAGTGCATGCCTGTAATTCCAACTACTTGGAAGACTGAGGCAGAAGGATCGCCGGAGCCCAGCGGGTCGAGGCTGCGGTGGCCGAGAGCGGCCACTGCACTCCAGTCTGGGCGACAGAGTGAGACTCTGACTCAAAAAAAAAAATGCCTTATTTCGTTATGTTTTCAAGCACTCTTGCCTATGATTTTTAACCATACTGCACTATGATGATCACAGCACAATACACAGGTAAGGAGGGTGAGCCAAGAGAGAGAAGTAGCAAGTTCACAGTCACACACAACAGGGAAGGGTCAGAATCCAGGACCCAGCCAGACAGCCGTGGTTCCTTAGAGTAACCCTCTATCCTGCTTTGCAAAACTGCTTCAAGAATCGAGACTGTTGGAACTCCAGAGTACACCGAATCATTTATTTACCTCTAGGCTTTGGGAGAGGGGGCATACAGGAAGCCCCCGCAGTTGTGTGGAAGACTGTGTGTGCTTCCTGTCTGGCGATAGAAACTGCAACTCCTGCCAGATCCTCTAAGAGTTAACGTCCCCCCAAAAGTCTGGCAACGGTTCAGTGAATTCGCACCTATCATTTTTCCACATGAATACCTGGAAGGTCAAAGAGGTGACTTGACTACATGAAGGCCTTGTGTTGCATTTATTCTATAAATGGGCCCTGAGATCGCTCCCATCCTGACCTGGGTTGGGGATGAGGACACAGAAATGGAGTTGTGGTTCTGTTTTCATGAAGTTCAAGACTCAGAACTTGGAGAAGGAGACCGAAATGGGTCCCAGAGCTATCTTATAATGGGCACCAGGGCTAAGCCAGGAAAAATACCATACAGAAGGATTTCCTTAGAAGGTTTCTTCTCACTTCCTAGAAGAACCTGGTGGACGTTCTAGTATAACACCTAACATGAACATGCCCTTTCTTTGTTGATCGCCTCAAAAGTGAACCGCAAGTACATTTTGTTTTATTCATCTCTGAATCCGCCTTTTTTTTTGAGTTGGAGTCTCACTCTGTCGCCCAGACTGGAGTGCAGTGGCTGCTCCCGGCCACCGCAGCCTCGACCTGCCGGGCTCCGGCGATCCTTCAGCTCAGCCTTCCGAGTAGCCAGAACGCCAGGCACGCGCTACTACGCCCGGCTGATTTTTTCATTTATTGTAGAGATGAGGTCTCGCTGCCCAGACGGGTCTCGAACCCGCGGGCTCAGGCCATCCACTTACCTCAGCCTCCCAAAGGCGCGGGATGACAGGCTGAGCCACCGAGCCCGGCTGAATCCACATATTTTAACCCACTACTAAAGCCCACTGAAAGGCTGAGGAGACTCCTTGGCTTTGTCTTGAATGACCGAGTAGATGGCAAGAGATGTTTGTCAGAAGGTGAGGGTTAGAGGGTAGTTCATTATAAAGGTGATGGTGTTGTCTAGGCCAGTCCCTTCCCGTCCAGGGCCAATGGGCAATGTCCACCCCTCTAGCAAGGAAGAGCTATCTTGCGATTGCCTCAAGTGCCCTGCCACAAAGGCACTGGCTTTTGTGGGAGGTATTATTCATTCACTCACGCTTTTTTCTTTCAGTTATTTCCACGTGTCTTTATTATCCCAGCTTTGACTACACAGGGGATCGCATAGGTTTCGAGATCCAGAAGCTTTGTCATACAAGGAGTGGTTTAAAAGGAGAGCTCTGGGGACATATCACTTGGATTCAAATCCTGATCTGCCCTAGCCTCAGTGGGTCACTTTACTTAGCTGCCGGTACTTTAGTTTCCTCATCTAAGAAATATTGCCAATCTTATAAAGTCACAGCCAGGCTTAAGTGAGTTGATTCATGAAAAATACTTAGTGGGGTACCTGGCTCACAGTAAGCACTTAATAAATATAGCTTTTATTATTGCAGTTTACTGATTCTCCCTCAGTTCCAGGAGAAATGGTTTAAACATAGTAGGTCTTTAAAGTTACTGTAATAAAGTTAAATAATAATTTTAAAAAGACTTCCCGTGGACTCTCATACCTGGACATAAAAATAAAAAAAAAAAAAAAAAAAAAGAAAGAAAAGAAAATTGCAATTTTGTAGTATATGCAGTATAACAATGTTTTAATGAATAAAACTTAAGTTTGGTGAGAGTTTCCTGTATACAAGGCACAGTGCTAGGTGCTGGGTGTACAATAAATGAGGCGTCCGTCTGGAGTTTGCAGACTGGTGGGAAAGACAGACAGTAAACAGATCATTACACAACAGGGGTTGCAGATTGCAGCAGAGGTTAGCACAGACAGGAAACCCAACACGAAGGTGGTAAGGGGAGGGAAGGGGCCAGACAGTGGAGCAGCAAACCCTCCACAAAGATGTGCTGTCTGAGTGGAATTGAATAGCCACAAGAACAGCCTTACAGGAAGGCTTTTAGCCAAATCTTTCACGTTCCTTCTCCAAATCCTCTACAGAGAAACATCAAGGGGAAGGGGGCCCAGTCAACTCTCAGTCAGTGTGTCTTTAATTCTGAGATGTATGGAGCTGCAAGGTGGGATTGGTAATCTTAAGAAGGATCAGGAAACAGCTCCAAGGGCCACCTTCACTCTTGGTCCTGCAGTCACCCCATTGGTTTCTTCAGTTCTGCTCTCTTTAATGCCTGGATCTCTAAGTCAAGGCCAATTTGTCTGGGTTGGCAAATCGTGTGAGAAGGTACCACGAACAACACCATCTGCCTGGCACAGTTCCAAGAACTGCATCAGGATTCATGGATAAACAACCTGATGATGAAGTACTATTTGTATTCTCATTTTGCAGATAAGAACACTGAGGCTTGTTGACATTGAAAACTTGCCTGAGGTCATGGTGCTCCAGAGTCCACATTCTCAAATCCCATTTTTACCATTTCCACTTTATTACCTTTTCTTAAGTCAGGGCTCACCTGAAAGTGAAGCAATTCAAGTTCTCAGTTACTTGAAATTCTGTGATTCTGTGTAATGGGGACTTCTGCTAGGGCTGACTTTCTGTTAGGATTTAAAGGCGGTCCAAGGTGATGTTTGACCTTGGCATTTCTGATCATATGTATCTGACAGTTGATGATGTTGTGAGGTAAATACCCATCTCCTGTTTTAAGGGGTAGGGGAGAGGGGACAATCACAGGTGCTGAGAAGGAAAGGAATGTCTGGCATATGAAGCCTCCAGCGACTCAAAGAAGACTGTTGTCTCCTCAACCTCAATTTATAATAAACTTATTTACCTCCTTAATATTTAGAAAAGTCTTTTGTAATAATGGAAAATATAAGACAATATCCCCAATACAACAGAATAATGAATTCTGCTTTGGAGTCAGATTCTGCTTACTATCTGGGAAACATTGAGCAAGACATTTTATATATATATATTTTTTTTTTTTTTGAGTTGGAGTCTCACTCAGTTGCCCAGACCGGAGCCCAGTGGCCGCTCCCGGCCACTGCAGCCTCCCAAGGGCGCTGGATGACAGGCTGAGTCACCGAGCCTGGCTTGAGCCAGACATTTATCCTTCTATGGACTTTAGACTCCTCATTAAATGAGGATGACTTCACATTGCTCAGAGGGCAGTTTTGAGGACTAAAATGATATTGTCCATGATCAGCGCTTAGCACAGTACCTGGCATCGAGTTGATTGTAACTACTGTCCTGCCATTTCCATCTGCCAGTCATTATTGCCATAGTGCCACTGCCACCATCACTATCGCCACCATCACTCCTATCACTACCATAATCATCACCACCATGTCCACCATCACCACCCTACCACCATCACCACAACCATCATTACCACCCACAGCACCATATGCCAGACCGTTATCACCACCGCCGTTACCACCATCACCACCACCACCACTACCACCCGCAGCACCATTGCAGTCACTGTTACCATCACTATCCCCAGCACCATCACCATGGCCATTTTCCTGTCATCAGTATTATTACTAACTGGCTGCCACTTGGCTTACGTTATGTAGGGATTATTACATGGAGGCAGAAAGAACCATGGAGAAAGGTCATCATGGAGGCAGGAGGCTTGGGTTTGGTTGCAGACACCACTACTTGCAGCAATATGTCCTTGGATAAGGCAGTGAAACTTTCCGAGTTTCTTTTTGGTCATGAGAATAGCATAAATGCTTGTATCACCTGCATTAATGAAATATTATGAAGGAGGGCATTTGGCATCTCAGGGCATGAGTCTTCTCTCCAAAGGAGTAAGCTGCCTAGCTAAGTTCTGCAGATATCCAGAAGGACACAACGGAAGCCACAATAAACCCAGAAAAAAAAAAGAGTCTCAGCACTGATGCTGGTTTATCAATGGTGTAGGCCCCTATCCTGTTTCCTGAGTTTGCACAATAGAGACCAACTGGAGGGTTAAAAAAAAAAAGATTTGGAGCATGTATGCACTGCACATTTTATTTGGTAGTTGTTACTATTAATTGTGATTTCAGTGCTGCAGGGAATTTAAAAGAAGTCTTCTCTACATTGATATTGACTGTCAATCACTTATCCCACGCATACATTTTGTGTCTTAAAAGCACGGAGGACTTCCTTCAACCTTTTTCCTGTTTCCCCTGTTGGTTTCAGCTCCTACAGAGATTACTTTTGCCATCGACGTTGGGAATGGCCCTGTAGAGCTCGTCGTCCAATCCCCTTCTCTTCTGAACGACAACCAATGGCATTACGTCCGGGCCGAAAGGAACCTCAAGGAGACCTCCCTGCAGGTGGACAGCCTTCCAAGGAGCACCAGGGAGACATCGGAGGAGGGGCATTTCCGACTGCAACTGAACAGCCAGTTGTTTGTAGGTAGGGGACATCTTAAGGCACCCTTCGTGTTGAACCTCTACCAGACAACTGTGTATCTAGGGCCCCACAAGATCCCTCTTTAATTTTAAACTTGAGAGGTGATCTAGAATATGACATAAAGTGTTTATAGTCATAAATTTAATTCTATAAATTCTTTCTTTCTATCTGCTTTGGTCATCATAGCCACGAAAGGTTATGCTACCCTTCAACAAATTTTGGGGTTTTTCTCAGACTCTTTGTATATTTTCTCCTTGTCTATATTTTCTTCAGATATCTTGGGACCTCTTTTGTTTTTCACCACTATGATCAAACTCTATTTTCAGGGAAAGGGTATGTCTACTCTTTGTATCTTATGGAAGAGTCATGGGCCACTCTTCTCCGTTATACCTGACTCTCGATCATTACTGTGATCATTGCAATGAAGTAGTGTAGCTATCTCCAAGGGATTTCAGTCATAAATAGTCATAAAGAATATGTTTGTGAGAGGGACTGCCCTTTTTAAATGAGAGGCTCCTGTGATACTCCCTGAAATCGTACCACTGGGAATCAGCCCTTGACAATGCATTCATCTCAGCTGGTAGCCATGGCTTGTAGTGGATCCAGAAGGATCCAGTCATCATGCTCTGAGTCCTTCCTCCCTTACTTCAGTCCATTAGGAGTCACTGAGCATTTTCCACAGATCAGATACTTTGCTGCATGGTGGGTGCTGGAAGATGAGTTGAGCAATAACAACTACTTTTCTAGGAGCTCATAGTTCTGTGGGGGTGTGTGTGTGTGTATGTGTGTGACAGAGAAGAAGGTGGGAGTTTTAGAAGGGATAAGCTCTTCGACAGTTGAGCTTAAGCTGCATTTAAATGAACATTTTATTTTTCTTGCATTTTTGTCAAGCATAAGGGATTGCGTGCGCGTGTGTGTGTATGTGTTTGTGTGTGAAAGACAGAGAGATGAGAGAGAGGAAAGGAGAGAGACTGATATAGGGTTATCCTTATGACTGTAATTATTTTTTAAAAAATTGAAAGGAGGTTGAGGAGGGCTTGTAAAGCTTTAAAATACAAAATAGCACTCTAAATGTTAAAAAAAAATTGTAGTACTACCAAAACCAAGAATGTGCGCTTATAAAAACTTGCAATTCAGATGCTTAGAACAGTGATATAAATAAGTTACAGAATTTTTCAGTCTACCCAGATTTAATTTTCTTTCTTTTTCTTTTTTTTGTTTATCTATTTACTTTTTTACTGACTCCACACTCCATAGCTTTACTGCTAGTGATGAAATGCTATCAGCACTCAATGGGCGTTTTTTACTTGCTTCCTTTAAATTTAGGTTTGTGCAACTTTTAACTCTCACAAAAGTAGTCACTAAAATCACACCAGCTAAAAGAAAAGAAGCGACAGAATGTGAGGATGTCATATTTTCTCTTTTCAACGTGAACCATATTTCTTTCTTCGTCTGTCATGTTTTACAGATCCACCTAGCAGAAGCTAAGATATAAGTGATTTAAAATATTCTTTATGATTGCAAGTCATTTGCTTAATTAATAACTCATATAAGTGATATGATTTACTATTAAAATATTTTAAAATTTTATATTGCTGTTTTAGTTCTATTTTAACATTGCAGTTTATTTCTATAAGGAAGTTTGCTAGTCATCAAAATTTAGTATCTTTTTGGTGGAATCCATGAAAGTGTTTTGCAGTTTTCATAAATTGTGTTTCATGCCAAAGTTTAATTTATCTTCAGACAGTATTTATGAATCTTTCTGGCTGAAAGGTATATATAAAGATAGAATAAACTTTTTTTACCATTTCGTGCAAATTTCATGTAGCTACGAAATCATCATACGGCCCAAATATGTGATAAACTTTGTGCAAGTCAAAAGGAAAAGAAGGCAGATGTGTTTCGTGGCAGGTTTTATCTGCAGACGCGTCAGTTAAATTGATCACAAATGCAGTGAGCTGTAGGAGCGTGTCGACGGTCTGGAGGCGATGTCTTGCCAAGGTCAGCTGTGGCAAGAGCACCTGCTCCGGTTATGTTTCTCTCCAATAAGTCCCATCTCAGATGGTACTCGGTTTATTGAATTTGCCTTAATGTACTCGAAGAAGAAAAAATGTTGTTGGAGGTCATTTTAGTCTTTTGGTTTTTATTTTAACGTTTAGTGTTCAGCAGTACGTCCATTTAGAAATGTCAGGTAGCCCCCAAAGCTGAAATTCTAACATTTCCAGTTTGCATAATTCAGCTGTTCAATAAATAAATAGATAAATAAAAAGCTCTACTTAGTCACCAAAATGAAGAATTGCATTCTCTATCATTCAGAAATTTGGAGACACCGAATACTTACTTATATTTGCTGGGCAGTAAAAGATATTATTGGCGCATGCCTCTTTCCTGATAGATTGAGTGTGGCATTACTTAAATATTAATTTGGATATGTCTGTCTAGATGCCTTTGGCCATCGAAGGATCTTTCCATCAAAAAGGAGCAGGCTTCAACACTGTTATCACTGGCATGGCTGCTGTGGTCATGAGTGCTTCCTGAGTGTCAGAAACAGACTGCACTTTTAGAATAGGATGCACCTCTCAGCACTGCCCCCGTCGCTGGAATGTGACAGGTTGAAGTGCTGACACATGCGTAAGAGCATGCTGGATTCCCAGAACGAATATTTTAACCTCAGGCAGTTTCATCACCATGATGGTTAGGAACTTTTGCAGCCATACTGTTTCGCCCATCACATTTCTTTAACAGAGTAGGAGAAGAAACTTCATAACACGCAGCTTTGAAATGAATGCTAGAAGCACGTGGCAGCCTCACCTGTGGAATTGTTGATGGCCTTGCCCTTCTGCTACGTTATTCCTCCACTAATGTGCCTGTCAGTAGGAGGATAAGGCAAGGAAAGCCCAAGAGCTACCACCCACTGCCGAACGTGAAGAGATCTGAGTATGTAGTATGTGTTTCAGGTCCGCTACCAACAGCCACGGGATCCTGGGAGAAAAATAACTAGCCTCGATGGGCTATTATCGTTAGCTACAGAATGAAGATGAAGTGTCTGGTGACTGATCTTCCAAGACTTGAATAGCTGCCCTCTGCATGTGTGTCTTAGGAAGGATCGTCACGCTTATCTGCACATTTACGTGTATGTAACAGCAGGGAAACTGTCTCATTCCCTTCAAACCTAACAAAACACCTTTCCAAATATGCTACAATTATAGAGTGGAAATTCTGTGATGGTGTGGGCCTGTGAGTCTCATTTTGAGACTTTATTGCCTTCTACCCTTTTTTCCCCATGGGCTCTTATCTTTTCCCCCAACCCAACTACTCTATTTGTGTCAAAATAAACTGAAGTTACTCCAAACTTGCAAGCCCCTGGGGAGAATACTACACTGGCTTGATAAATCATAACATTTAAAAAGATTCCCCTCCAAATGCTGTTCTTGCTTCCAGGCTGGTAGGGAATTATTATTCCTGTTTTCAGGTGAAGCATGTCAAACTCAGCAAGGTCAGTGGTGAAACCAGGCAGGCTTGGTGAGCACATTAATTTTGTGCTCTGTCACTGCATAAACTCGTGATCTGTGGCATAATGCGGCCACACAAAGGAGGTGCCGGTGTCTTCTTACAAAAGTAACTTATATTTTATCCTGTGGGTGTCTTCGAGTTTTCCATTTGGGAAAATGTCATTGTGACTTATAGCGTGGAAGGAGATAAGCATCCTTTTCACGTTAAAAAAAAGAAAATTACCTTTTAGCATATTTGTGACATAAAACCGTTGAACATGAAAGATGATACATAGCATTATGTCAATGGTGAAATAAAAAATGAATAAATAACTGTCTTTTCAACATTATATAAATCTTTGATTACTGTGTCCAGTTTGCCTTCAAAAACTTATTTAATTAAATAATATGCCAGAGATCATATACCTGAATCATTTTTAAGAAAAAAAATTAATATAGAACTTCTGATGTTCCCCATAAAAATCACAGATTGAGCCAGACTCAGTGGCTCAGCCTGTAATCCCATGCCTTTGGGAGGCTGAGGTGAGTGGATTGCCTGAGCCCGCGGGTTCGAGACCCACCTGGGCAACTTGGCGAGACCTCATCTCTACAATAATTCAAAAAATTAGCCGGGCATGGTAGCGCGCGCCTGTAATTCCGGCTAATCGGAAGGCTGAGGCAGAAGGATCGCTGGAGCCCAGCAGGTCGAGGCTGCGGTGACCAGGAGCAGCCACTGCACTCCGGTCTGGGCGACAGAGTGAGACTCCAGCTCAAAAAAAAAAAAAAAAAAATTAACAATCACAGATTGTTCTGATTAGCTCAAGAAGTCAGAAAGAGACTTCCAAACACTAGCAAGCAGGTCTCATGAGTGTTTTAATTGCTGCATAACAAACTCCTAGAAGAGTACCCAGGAGCTGTCAAACATGATTCTTTAGTGAAAAAAAAAAAATATTCCTCCCCTCACATCAGTGCTCCATAAAATTTGATTGTTATAGATCGAAAATGTGAAAGGACACTAGTTCAGTGTTTATATTCAGGAAAGTGAATGATTAAGTCATCCTTTCAGCAATTTTGTGTCTTCCTGAAGTTGTTGACAGACAACGTTTAACCCTTCTCAATGCACATTTTAGTGTTTTCTCTCCCTAATATGAAATGTTTGCGTATGACCTTTACTGTTTTAATTGGAACTCGTTTCATCCTTTCTGGTCTCCATTGGATTGGTGAGGGGAAATGGGAGCTGAGTAGAAAGGTGGGATTTTGTCGTGTTTTGCTTTTTGCCATTGGCAAAACATATCAGGACACCACTGTCTTTTTTATAAAGAAGAGTGCAGTTGGGCACATTTTCTCATGCATCCCAGAGGGAGAGGCCCTGAGATCCAGACCACACAAAAACTCAATGTTAGAAGTAGTAACTTGATTCTCCTGGCTCTTCCAGTTGTTGACATTTATAACTCAGTACACAAAGAAAAAATTAGGACAGCATAATTTATGTGGAGCTGCGATTATAATTAT